GGAACAAAACTAAAAATGCAGACTCCTTTTTTATTCAATAGTTGAAATTTCTGGAAATACAGGTAATTCTAAGTTATGCACATGAGATTCCAAGCAGTAATTCAGTTGGCTCAAGATCAATTTAAAGACAATGTGCAGGTGTGGGATAAATATAATGTAAGGACATATTTGTCTAAGTAAGAACACAAAAAATACAAATCTTATTTTCTTGAAAGTTTGTTTTGTGACCCTCATAATTTAAACAAATTATAACTGCAAATTAGGTTTGACTTTAAAATAAAAATATCCTCTGATTAGATATCAAATTTTTCTTGAATCAATTCCCATTAAATTGAAGTTCCTGATACCCAGTATCTAATCAATGACACGGAACTCTTACATATATTATACTTGTTTGGGAAATATATTGTCCAAACTAGGTGTTATAGTAAAAACATTTTCATGTTTTTTTAATAACTAAAAGAAGATCAAAAATTAAGTTAGGATCTATGATGAAGTGAAGAGATATGTATAAAATTGATATTAAATTAAAAAGAAAGGAATATGTCTAGATGTGTACTGAGTTCAATAATTTTAAATTTTCCTAATTAGGCTTTAATTATAATATCTCTATATTAATTAATTTTGTATGTGATAAGGTTACTAAAGTGAAAGTACATTATTCCGTATATGCGAAACCTACATGCAGGCCCAAGACAACCAGGCCAATATTCCTTGTCTTGTACTGAAAGCATCATAATATGTGGAAAGATTAGGAACGGTTTCATTAGCAACAGGGATCTTCTACTCTGTAGTATCAGATGACTATCAATACCAAATCCAATTTTGAGTGTGGAAAAGTGTTCAGAGTAAGCAGCCATTTTTATTATTTTTCTAGTTCTTCTGTTTCTGAGTCACAGTTTGATCTTCCCCCAAATTGTGTCATATATCTTATTTGAAACATGACATTTTTATGGAACTTACTTTTCTAAAAAAAATAATTTATATCTGTTGTAAAACTTTCCACACTTCTATTTTTCTAGCAGACAACATGGTCCTATGCTTGTCCGATCAGTCAAGCATAGGATTATCAGACAATAAGTCATAATGTCTACTTATATTTGCACACAGCTGAAGCTATTATTACAAAATAACAACAAAAGCTAGGAATAAAAGGCATTATCTTTTAATCTTCCCATAGGGCTGTGACTTTCTTATTTGCTCCACGTTAAAAAAATTATAAGAATAAATGATAATCTTAACTCCTAATGTTTCCATCTTGGTACCCCACAGGCAAAATGAACTTCAGCTCACATAAATTTGAAGCTAAGAGCCAAAGGCAACATATCTGGAAGAGATTAGATTGAGGAGCACTGAAATAATCAAATGCTTCTATAGTCGTAGCTGTAGTTTTTACCCTAACCCAAAAGATGAGTGTCCTTATGGCTAAATTTATTTGATGCTTTACTTTAAGAATTATCCATTAAATTATTCACACCTGCATGTTGGAGTTTTTTCTATAGCTGACTATGTTTGAAATAGAAAAATAGAATTCTAGAAAGAGAAATAACCTATTTGATTACAAGTTTCATCCAAAACAGAAATAGGAGACAGAGAAAAATTCTTAAGACTTCAAAAAATGGCAAGGTAAGTGGAATTATTAGATTTTCCAAGGCATCACCATTAGTTTGCTGTTAGTATCATAAAAGAGATGGAATATAAAGCTGAGAAACATTGCAAGTTATTCTGTTACAGTGGTATTTCTCACATGAATTGGTCTATAGATTCTCATCATATGAAATACCCATAGCTTTTATTATTACCCATAGCCTTTATTATTATTTAATAATTTCCTATGCTATGTGATTTTTTCCTTGCTTCATTATGCATAGAAAAATGATTCACCAAATTGAGTCTTTGACAACCACTTAGATTCTTCCATACTACCTATGTAAATCTGAATAATACTTGAGCCATTTATGTAAAGGAGCTAGTAACTTTGCAAAGAATCTCTCCGACTATCTTTTAAAACCGGTTGGAAGTCAAATGCTCATTTTCCCGATTCCTAACCCCAGAAGGTCCTAGTCTAGAAAAGGCATGGAAACAGCTGCTTGGCAACTCTTAGTGTACTTCCATACTGCTTTCTGAAACTCAGAGGCACTGCATCTTTCAATAGACTATTTTAATTGGATTAGAGCCACTTAGAACTGCTTATAAACAAGAGGGTAGAACAGAAAATTATGACTTGCAAAACTATAGTAGAAAAGGCAAAGCCCTACTTAACTGCCATTAGACATGAGCATGCTCAGTACAAAAAAATGTTTATTGAATATGGAGTAACCACTAAATATATAATGGAAAAGGAAACTGAAGAAGGATAATTCTCTTTACTATTTTTTATCAGAGAATGGAGTTCTAAAATGCTATATAGAACAGCAGTTCTATATAGCATTAGAGGAACATTATAAATTAGAGGAACATTTATGTGGGGGCCAGGATATTCTGAAACGTATTGAGACTTTGACAGCTGTCAATTCTAAATGTATACAAAGGCTGATAAAGTTTGCATGGATAACAACAAAAAAACAACATATTGCTTGAAAACAGAATGCTATGTCTTTGTATATAACTCAGCTGATTTTTCCAAATAATTAAGCAGAAAGTGATATGAATGATAGTGTCTCTACATGCCTTGTATGAATCTCTATAAGGCAACATTATATCTTTATATAGCAATTATTACAGCAATTGTATTTTGTTTAGTATAATTCATATATTTAACATTTTTGCCTATAATGTTAAGAGTTGGAAACGTTAAAAATGTAAACAATTCTGTGGTAATTCACTACTCTACTGATGCCTGGTATCTTCCATGCAATTAAATACAGTGATGCAAATGTCCAAGCTGCTATGTAATTTCAATTTCTTGTGGTTTATTTATCTGTTTGCATGAAAATAAGAAAAAAATGCTAAGGCAAGAAAGGTCTGGAATAAAAATGTTCCTTTATATAATCCTATACTTGTTCCATTGTTTTAAAGATGTGTGCCAAAATTAGTTTCAACTATGTTTATTTTCAGCAGTGATAAAGTTAAATATTTATGTATAATATTCATCTAATGTATTTTAATACTAGAAAAATATCCTTTAAAATATTTTTAAAATGTTACTCAGAATGGGGATGTGGGGAGAAAAAAAATCACTTTTAAAACAGAAGCAAAATCTGGATTTTGTTATAACTTGGTCACATTCAATCACACACAATCTAGGGGGCAAAAAGCACTCATGTAAAGACTTTTGTTTAAAGATACATTATTCAAGACTAACAAATTCAAGGCTTCAGTTTGTAGAGGGGACATCATATGAATACCTCAGTATGTTACTATATTTAATTAAATTTTATTTAATGTTGTTATTTTATTTTCAATTTTACATATGAATAACCAGAAATATCTTATAACATGCAATATAAAATTAGTTTATTTTGATTTTCCAGGAATACAGATATAAGCATTAAATGGTAAAATAAAATATATCAAACAATAATAAAAAGTGTATGAGAGAGCTCTGTATTAAACAAACATCTTAAAAATCTACTATTTGCAATTCTATTGAATTTTCTGATGAAAAGCAGTATCTTTCTAAAATGTCTTAAATGATTCCTTTAGTAGCATTTATGTTTGCTCTAGATTTTCTCTAAGTGTTTGAAAATGTTGTTTGTTTGCCTTCTTCTCTTCCAAGAACCACATTGTATACAAAAATTCTTTAAAGAAAACATTCTTTTAAGCAACTAATCCACAATATTTCATATGGAATAAAGCTCTTAATTATATTTTTAATTATATTTTTTGTTTTACTAAATATTAAATACTTGGATATGGATTTTATTAAAAAAAATCCATATCATAAATCATTATTGTAAAGACTAAGCATTGTAATAATACACATTGGTTAAATCATAATCAGACTGAAAAATCCACTAACATTCAATATTAATTTATATGTTGAGAAGAAGTATTCTTCGATTTAAATATTTCAGTAATGTACGCCTATCTTTATAGACTTTAGTAATCAAAGTCTATAGTTATAGACTTTAGTAATCAAAGTAATCAGACTTTAGTAATTTTATATGAGGAGATTAATAAAATGATTTCTTAGTTAATATTGTTCTAATATTCTAACAAATATAAAATTCTACAAATGACAAATACAATATTAAGATGCCCATATTGCTAAGGCAGATGCAGGGTTGTCTATACTACATTTAATATAAAACAGTGTTCACAATTTCTAAACAGAAGCTTAGTTCTCTGTTCATTTAAATTTGTAAAACAAAAATAAACGATGGTATACTTTCACCAGATGAAGAAAGCATAAGATCAGAATTAACAGCAATTGTTCTCACATTCTATATACAAGTAAAAATAATGAAATTAAGATTGTGAACGACAATAAGAAACTGTAGAAATAAAATAATTAAGATTGGCAGAAAAACCATTTCTATGCACATCAAGCTTATAATAATAGTTCAGATCAAATGAAAAACAAAATCTTACTAAGCGTTCTCTAAAGCTTTCTTAACAAAGGGACTTGTGGCCCTTTCATGCACAAAGACACACAAACCTTAACCCTTGACCTTTTCTCAGTTGACAAAATAAGAATACTGAAAATGTTACATATCATATAAATGTTCATTTTGTACAAATTCTTTCTTCTCTATTCTTTGGTTAGGAAAAGGTGCTCTATTCAGAAGGAGTCCAAGACAAGCCTGCTTTTTAACTGTCATGTGACTCTTTTTTTCTCCCCCCCCTAAAACCCATGTGGTCATGTATCATTTTACTCCAAAATATCTATGCGGATTTCAGCTCAACCTGGCTTTGCTCTGAATGCATGACATAGACTGTGTGGGAGCATGAGAACTATCTCTCTTAAAAGCAAGGTCCTCATAGTTGGCCTGTAACCATGGAAGCAGATGTCTCTTTTTTGCTTGTGTTTTTTTTTTCCTTTTGCTTACCCTGCTTACCTCTTTGCAGCCCCGAGCTGCTCCTTATTGTTAAAAGGGGGTTGGCTTGATTTTTCTTCATCATGAACGAACTTGTCTCTTTTTTCAAAGGCTATGATGCTGCAGGTCATCGGTCTAGACTGTTTGGACGGTCCAGAGAATAGCCTTGAAGTAACCCTTGCTCTGTCTGTGCCACACCACCAGCCGAGCAACTGCAGACTGTGGGGGGACATTGGAGATCTGTTTTTGAAAAGAAGTCCGTCTGATTTTGCCATTGTGCCTTTTCACTCATCGATCGAATGAATATCGAACCTTCTGTCGTTGCATGTGTGAAATAGATAGCTTAGCAAGCATATTTGAGCTCAAACCTGTGCAAAGGGCCAAACTGTTATTTTGTTCTTCCTAATTTTCATTTTGTGTACTCCAAGAGGTGTTCTCCATTAGGAATCTCTTTTTAATATATATTACCCAGTTACATACTAATGTTAAATGCTGTCTATACATTCACATTTCCTGCCCCCCACGCCCCGGGCTACATCAGCTAGCATCTTTATATTCTAAGATTTGGAAGTTGTTGTGTATGTGTGTCTCTCTGTGTGTGTGTATTTGTGTGTCCAGTTCCTTTAAGCTTCATTACTGAGCAAAACACCTGAGTTTTAAAAATAATTTATTGAAGGGAAATATGAGTTCTCATAACCAAACATGTTCTAAAATCACACCGTGATCTATTGACAATCATTATACTAATTATTATAGTAAAGCTTATTAGAGAAAAAATAAAACACATTCTCATATTTTATGTGATAAAGTAACTGCTTTCTAGAATATTTTTTTCTAAATGGGAAAAAGAAACTGTCTCTCACAAATGTTTATACAAAAATCCAAACACAGAGCATTCTTATATTTTTGTATATCATCCAAATAAACCTCAATATGAAAATAATAGGCAATGTTATTTAACTAAAACGTGTTCATGGTTTTGATGAAACAAAGCATATGAAAATTATGTGGAAATTGATTAAATCAACCAAAATTCAAATGCATTTGCTTTCTTTTTTAAAAGTCCTAAGGTACTTAAATTAGATATTCTGAAATTCATTTATACTATTTTGCTTAAATTCAAAGTTTATGAACATTTATGTCACAACTGGCTATCAAAAAAAAAAAAAAAAATTCCCACACTGAAAACTGTGGGGATGTGCTCATTGTAGAGTATTCTTGCCTTTATACTGATCCAATAAAATTCAAATCAAATGGGCTTACATTTTCTTCTGGGGGTCGCTTATCCAGCATTGTCTATATATGGCTTCAGCATCTATATATGTTTTCAGATATCACTGCCTCTGTACTTGGAGACATACCTATTTTCTCTAATTGCCAAAGGCAAAGGGGAGGTGCACTAACGAATAAAGAAGGTTATTGTGACAGATGAAACATAATTCACAATGAATACTCTTTTCATTCAGACTTAACATGGAAGAGGATTAGTCCAAGCTGAATTTTAGGAGAGAGAGAGTAGACTTCATTCCAATAATACAAGGACAGGCCAGAAATTGGGAAACTACTGTAAATGCAAACAGGATTTTGCTCATGATTTTGGATTGTTTCGTCCCAGAAGAAATATTAAAGTTGAAGATAAATAGCAATAGCAAAATGACATGCAATGTTTTTTTCTAGACTGGATCTTGATGAATGCTTATAATATGTTTCTTCTTCATTTGACAGAGATTTAATGAATGAAAAATGTTTTTTTTCTTCAGTAAATACGTTCTTTGGAAGTAGGTATTCCTTTTTATATGTTTGCTAAAATTAACCTTTCTTTATATTTGTTAATCATTCTTTTAGACTTTGTTTATACTGCATAAGGGGGGTTGAATTTAGTGAAAAGTATCACAATAATTATATTACTATATGCAAATATGCTGAGCTTCAAATGTTAATTTGGAGTAATAATTGGCTTAAATTTTAATTACTGCTTATAAGAATTTTATTAATTTTGTTTCTTTTTACATTCTTTGAGACTACTAACAAAGTGAGTTAAGAATTATTTGCTATGCTAATTTTTTTTAAAAAAATGTTGTCTTACATTATTTTTATTTCTTTCACTGCAAATTTGTCTGAGTAAGAGGTGTGCATATTTTAAAATTTGACCATTCTTAATGTTATCCATTGGTAGCTATTTATACAGACTGATGCAAGATATGAGCAACCTGAAAAGAAAATAGCTAAAAGATATGCATGAAAAAGATGTTCTGTATATTCAATGTTATTATATATTATAAAATAGCTTAAAAATATTTTTAGGAAGCTAACATTATCAAAATATTTCAGATAATTGAGCTCCTATAGTTATTTATCTGAAAATCTCACTGAGATTTATAAGTAACTCCTAAAGTTACTTATCTGAAAATCTCACTCAGGTCAACCACAGGATGGCTTTTGAGAATGCGAATATAGCTTTGTACTATATCTTTTTAACATGCTACTTCTATTTTCAGCTGTTTTTTCTAGATTCTATGACCCCTAACTTCTGAATAATATGCTGTATATTTCAGCAACATATGAACATTAAACAAACATGTGAATTAAGATTCCATAAAACAACAGAAGATTGTCTGTTGGATTTCATTTGCATAAAATTTTATACAAATTTTATACAATTTTATTAAAGGAAAAAAATCATCTCAGAACATTCTTCAGAATAAATGCTACAACAATATTTCTCCAAATTTATTTAATCAAATATAATCCTTCTTTTATTAAAAAAAATTAAGAAATAAGTCAACTGATGAAACATAAAGATTTAGCAGTTAGCAGTTAGCATTATGAACAAGAAATATCTTTTTTTTAAAAAACTCTCCTTTAATTAAATATCTACATTTCTATTTGTTATCTAGAAAAAAACATAATATTTTTATGTGATAAAATATATACTTTTGGTTTTTGTTTTAAATGATATTCATTTAGATTTATTTAATCCTTAGGGAATTGTTTTTTAAACAGAAACTGTAACTAATCTTTTAAAATATGAGGTTTACAATTAAAAGTTAAAGGAGAATATTTTGAACACTGCTAAATTTGTACATGGGCATGTTTAGAAAAAGAAAGAATTGAAGTCACTAATCTAATTAAAGAATAAGATATAATAATTCTATTTGAATTTCATATTTTAAATTACTCAGTAAAATATTATGTCATTATATTGTAAGCTTTTTTTTTAAAAAAAAGCATTTTATAGAAAATGGAATAAAACCACAACCTTCAATACTTTAAATACTGCATTGAATATTTTTAATATTAATTCAGGATATCAGAATGTATGAAAATGAATTCTTCAAACTGTATTTTTTATCTAAAACTGCTTGTAGTTTATTTTCCATGATTTTGGATTGTTAATTATTATATAAATTCTGGCTAGTGCTGAACCATACTGAAGTAAAAATATTTAGATTATGTGGGGCTGGGAGCAATACGCTGGGTCTTTCTTTCTTTTAGATACTATGATTTCATAAGACAGGCTGGAGGGGAGTCAAATCTGCCACATGCTGTGTGAAAAAATGCCACCCTGGTGTGAACAAAGGGTTTAGAATGGAGTCAAGAAGCGTGCAAGCTCAATGTCTAAGCTTTTCCTGTGAATTGTTCTGCCACAACCTGCAGGATATCCAGTGGGCTGGAAAGAATAGGGAGCTCTTGGAAGCTACAGCAGAGAAACACTTGCAATCCAAAGTAGAGAGAGAGCTTCTTTGTTTTGTGCTTCCTTCGGCAAACTGTTTTACCCAAAACAGAAACCAAATTTCAGACAAAAATTTCAATAACAACAAAATGCCAAGATTGGCTAAAGAATCCATATTATCTGCCTTTACATCTTGAACTAAATGTTGAAATTTATTAATAATATAAATCATAGCATGGCTCTTTCAAGGGTCGCTCCAAATGGGCTTTAATAGTCCAAATATAAAAATAACACAAAATACATCAAAAGGCTCTGAAATCATTTTGTGAGCTGAGACTGAATAAAGCATTCACTATCCCATATTGTTATATTGTGGTTCAACTGACAATAAAATTTAGTTTCGATTACTTGACTCAATGAGATCCTTTAGTTGCCTAGCTGATTAACTGAAAAGAGTTATCACCATGTTTACATTTATTACTAGAGAGTATTACAGTATATTATATTTTACCCTGCATTAAAAAAATTCTAGCAATAAACTTTCAAAATATGAATAATAATGATCCTATGATTGTTTATAGAATCAGTTAAATTTGTTTAAAGTATAGCATTACCAGCAAGTTTCAGAATGTACGTAACACTGAAACCTTGCTTCTTGAATGGATTATAAATTTATTTCTAATTACTCTACAGCTTTAATGCATTTGAATTATAGTTTGAAAAAGTAACTCTTAAGGCTTTAAGCTTTTATGCTATATCATACTATAAAAAATAAAATAGATTGATTCTGTCCCGCCCTATAATATCCTATTTCAACTTGTTTTTGTTATTATTTTTGAATAATAGGAAAGAAGAAGAAGAAAAATATATAGTATATTTTCTCACAAAAAATTTACTATTCATGGCAAATAGACTGAATCAATCTATTCATAGGGCTGATTCAATCTGAACATATTATTATGAATTCAGTATAGGTGTGATTAAATGAGACATTCTCTATTCAGGAATATTCTACTAAATACAATTAGTTCAAAAAGGCCTATTCTGCTATGAAACTGTTTTATTCTGAAACTGAAGTGGAAACAACAAAGCTGTAAGTTAAGACATACAACTAAATTATAAATTTAAGAAGACAATGACATCTTGACCAGCCTGTTTAAAAATGATCTGACCATTTGATATTATAATCAATCCCTGTACTGAGCAACATTTTAATATCTTCCTGTTACCAGATTTGTAACAATGAATCAATTCGTCAATCCTAAAGGGGCGTATAACTAAAATTATTTAGAATCCTTCCGCCCATTTTGTAAGGACAACAATATTGCATTACGTTGGAAGAAATGTGTCAACAGCTTTAATTATTCTAAACTCATGTGAGTTAATATGGTTTCCTTTCTTTGTTCTATATTATCACCTGTCTTTTAATTTCTTTCTCTTTGCATTAGAGCATATAACTTCTTTTTCGTCCCAACTAAAATAGACTAAATTTCCATCTTTCCTCTCTCCAATTTTAATAGGACAGTACATCTACATAGAGACACAG